ATCGTGTCTGGGCATATAGGGTGCGCGTGCCACGAGCACGCGAGCCGAAACAGCAGCGGATAGAGAACACCATGCCACCCCTACAATTCCCTTAATGTCCGTTTGGCGGCCCTCCGGGGATCCTCTCATGCCGCCTTGGAACATTGTCGGCCCTCTGGGGCCCCTCTGAGCCGTCTCAGGGGTCTCAAACGGTGTTGGGGCAGTCTTGGGGCTTTCTGGGCTGTACTGAGCCTCTCGGCGGCACTCTCGGTCCTTTCCTTTGGAGACCTGCGATCCTCTTGAGCCGTCTGGGGGCCATCTTGGCTCGTCATGAAACCATTTTGGGGCCTCTTGGGCGAAACGGGGGGGTCTTCTGATCCGTGGGGCTTTCAGACGCTGGGAAAAACGATAACACCCAAACCAATCAAAACACCCCCGGCTTGCCCGCGATGGCTTTCTTAAAAAATCGTCAGGAACTCGTGGGGGGACTGTCTGTGCCGTGTCTGGGACTCTCGGACGCCCTAAACCAAAAGAGAGAGCTAGCGGGCCGTCTTGAGAGGATCGGGGGCTGGCTGGAGGCCCTATTGAACTTTGCAAGGGGCAGTCTTCGGCCGTGTGATTCGATCCAGAGGCCATCTGGGCACCCTGGGAGACGCCCGATATCGCTAGGGCCCCATGAAGCCGTCGTCTAGGAGACTTATTGGACCGTCTCAGGGCTGTTTTGGAGTGGTCACGGGGCCTTGTGGAGATGTGCGAAACGCGAACAAGAATGTGCCTGCTGATGAGGCGGAACTCATCACGCTGAAAAAAGATGAAACACATGAAAAACACACGGTCGTCGATTGATAGTTACGTACGGGGGCCGGAACATTACTCGTTAATCGTATAGTCTGGGCAATGGGCCACATGTATGCCGTGCAGGGTCAGCAACACAACCAAACACTCTGAACAACAGGGAGGCTATACCACGTAAGTGTGTACCATAGCGGGTGCGTCGTAACCGTGGCTTGCTGACAGCAGTGGCAGGATACACATCTGGAGCGGAACAACGAACATCTTGACAGCAGAAGCTCATCTGGGACGGGCAGGCTGTTATTTGGAACACATCTTAGGCGTTCTGATAAAAATGCGAGAGGGTAGATCAAACCATGGGACATCGGTGAGGACCTTGGTAACTTTGGTTTAAGGCTGACGCAAACGCTGCAAACAAGGAACAATTCTCTCACTGGTTTCCGCAAAAACGAACAGCCGCCTAAGAACGTATTCGATACGTCTCATTGCAACCAGCTTGGGTTCCCCCACCCACCACCGCGGGACCAACTTCGCCTGGTGTGTGCGCATGCGGCTTGGCGGTTGCGCATGCGGGTTGACTTGTCCTCAACGTTGGCTCGGGCCGTGGTGTGACAACATGTCAAAGCGGCTAAACAATCAAATGCACAACGCACGCGCAACGCGCCAACCCGCATGAACAATCATTATGAACCTGGTCCTGGGGGGAAGGGGTGCACGCTGACCGATTCGTAGGGTCCGAATCAGAACCCCTTAGACTTCCCCACACCTCGCAAGCCAATCGGATTACCATGCGACACATGGTTTTGAATCGGCCCTGTGCACGCTCCGCGCAATCGTACGAATATATACTCCGGGATACTGTCACCTGTCACGTTGATGGCCACGCCTGCTGTAATGACAGCAGCGGGATGGTTACAAGTCCCCTGGGTTCAAGGCCACTTCCCACTCAAAAAAACACGACGAAGCATGCCCTCAACTTTGCTGAAACGTGGCTTTGCCCCAGGCCGCGCTAACGGCTATGTTGGTTAACGTCGATGTTGGGACTCTGGTGTTTGCAACTCCGAACTCGCGCAGGACCAATTGTAAAGGTTGGCCACGAACCACTCCCACCTAGGATAACGAAACCTGCATCGCGCGGGTTTCGGGATCTGAGGTGGACCCACCTCCCTGACGCGCGGAGCGCGCCAGGGGCGTCGCCGGAGGCGGGGGCCCCAGCGAGGATTCAAGAAATCAGCGCAGAGCGCGCCAATTTTTTTTGCTTTGGCGTGTTTTCTTCTTCTTCAACAAAAAACAATTCGGAAATCGCTCCGCCCACTCTGCCGGCAACCGCAGTCCTCACTGCATTGACCTTGCAGACGTGCTGCAGCGGATTTTTTCGTGGATTCCTGTCAGTGTGAAACCCCGAAACGGCGGGCGAAAAACGACGTGAATTTCAAGTGGAGTTGTTTTGTTGTAGCTTCCATTCCTGACCAACAAACAAGCCGCGCGAAATTCGCTTCCAAATCCGGAACGAAATTCTGCACGATAATCCGGACCCATCCCGTGGTTTTCCGAGCGGAATCCGCTCTGCGATGTTTCGGGAGCGGCTAAGAGGGGGGTGTCCAAGAGGGGGAGGTGCAAATCATGACCGGCGGCATTTGCGCGGCCCAGCGGGGGGGCCAGGGACGTAATGAAACAAGTAGAGGCACCATAAATTCTGGGGGGATATCATAGCCCCCGCCATGATATCCACCCCCCTAGTCATCACCCCCCTCTTTTCCGCCCCCGAGCTTCGAAATCTGGAACGAAATTCTGCACGAGAATCCGGACCCATCCCGTGGCTTTCCGAGCGGAATCCGCTCTGCGATGTTGGCGATCGAACAGCACGCACCCATACCTATAGGGGGGATGGAGGAGGCCATGGGTGCGTGTTGTCGGATGGGGGTCCCCGCTCGAACGGGAGTTTCCCCGAGGGTCCGACAACTCGCACCCATACCCATAGCTCCTTTCGACCCTCCTATGGGTATGGGTGCTCGTCGATGTTGGCGACAGGAGTCCACCCCGCCGGGAAGCCCGAGGCGGCGAGCGGGCGAACCCTCGGGCGGACCGCGCGCCCGCTCGCCTGGGAACGGCACGCGGGGCGCACCGAGAACGCATGGGGGGGGGCGGAGAGAGGAACAGGCAGAGGGAGCTGCTCCTCCTCCTCCTCCTCCCTCCTCCTCCTCCTCCTCCTCCTCCTCCTCCTGCTCCTGCTCCTCCTTCCCTCTCCTCCTCCTCCTCCTCCTCCTCCTCCTCCTCCTCCCTCCCTCTTCCTTCCCTCTCCTCCTCCTCCTCCTCCTCCTCCTCCTCCCTCTTCCTTCCCTCTCCTCCTCCTCCTCCTCGTCCTCCTCCTCCTCCTCCTCTTCCTCCCCCTCCTCCTTCCCCTCCTCCTCCCCTCTCCTCCTCCTCTTCTTCTTATGATTAGTATTCTTCTTGTTATTATTCTTAATCGTATTATTCGTATGCTGCTTATCTTATTTCTTATTATTGTTAGTATTATTAGTAATAGTATTACTATTCATAGTATTATTAGTATCAGTATCATTCGTCTGCTTATCCGTATTATTCTTCTTCTAATTAGTATTAGTAATAATCTTCGTTTTATTTGTATTATTATGCGTGGTGCATATTCTTATTCTTCTGATTATTATTATGATTATTAGTATGCTTATTATTATGCTTGTTATGCTGCTTCTGAGTATTAGTATTCTGATTCGTATTAGTATTACTAGTATTCGTCACGTTCGTCTTCAGATTCGTCTTCTTATTCGTATTATTCTTTGTCTTCTTATTAGTAGCATTATTATATTTATTATTATTATTCCTCCTCCTCCTCCTCCTCCTCCTCGTCCTCGTCCTCGTCCTCGTCCTCGTCCTCGTCCTCGTCCTCGTCCTCGTCCTCGTCCTCGTCCTCGTCCTCGTCCTCGTCCTCGTCCTCGTACTCCTCCTCCTCCTCCTCCGTCTCCTTCTCCGCCCCCGCCTCCGCCTCCGCCTCCTCCGCCTCCGCCTCCTCCTCCTCCTCCTCCTCCTCCTCCTCCTCCTCCTCCTCCTCCTTCCTTTCCTCCTCCCTCTTCCTTCCTCCTTCTCCTCTCCTCCTCCTCCTCCTCCTCCTCCTCCTCCTCCTCCTCCTCCTCCTCCTCCTCCTCCTTCTCTTCCTTCTCTTCCTCCTCCTCGTCCTCCTCCTCCTCCCTTCTCCCGCCTACCCCCCCCCGCCCATCATCCCCGCCCACGGGAAGGCCGACAATCCGAGGGTGGGAGGCACCGATAGAAGGGGCTACCGAACTGAGCGACGATCAAACATATGTCTGAAGCGAGATGGCACAGCGACCTTACGCGGTAGCTCACGCGGGCCGAGAGCGCGTACGCTACGCTGGAAGCGAGGGCGCTTACGCGCGACCTTATGCGAGTACGTTGCGCGCCATTGTCGGCGCAGACGACCTTGCGTCGCTCACCTGGGATCAGCGACTCGATGCAGATAGGCGGCAGCCTTCCAACAGCGGATCTACACGTTCCTGGGTAGGGGTGGACCATCGGGCCCCCTATCGGCGATGAATGGGCGATGGGGGGTCGATGCATCCACACCTGACGTACCCCAAGAGAAATTGAAAAAGGCCGAGCACGCACAGCGTCGGAAATGCTCAGTGATCATCGGGAAATGTGTCAGCGACACCGCATGCCTGTCGACCAAGACCTTCCAATGCGACCGCAGGCAGCGCACTGAGGGCCGACACAGGCCGCGTGCAGGCGAACGGGGCAACCCACACACATTGGGCTAGCACACGCCCTGAGGATCTTCGAAACGCGCTGGCGGGGGCTAGGCGCCAACCTGGGTCAGCTGGGGCCACGTCGCGAACCCTGGCCAGCCACCCACGAGGCAGCTCCCAAGACTTGAGCAGGGACCGACCGTCCCGGCATTCCTATAGTCATACCACGAAATGTTCTTAGAACCCAAAAGTGTTCTAAGAACAAAAACAATGTTCTTAGAACATAAACACGATGTGTTAAAACAAGACAGACCCAGCCAGAAATGTTCTAAGAACATTTCGTGGGGCCCTATTTTTCGTCGAAAATCCCTGTAGAAAGACAGGCCCGACTTAAATAGGGGCTCCGAGGACCCCGGGCCAGCCGCAGGGGATCGCCCGATCCCCGTTGGAGCCGACGCCGGCTGCGTGCGCCCTGGCTGGGGATGGCCCCACGGCTGAGCCCGCGGCGTCGACTGCCCAGCAGGCTTGGTGGTCAGGCTGCGCATGTTACGCCGAATCGTGCTCCAGTTCGTCGAGTTGCCGCCCATGTGCGACGCGGAGCTGGGATGCGACGAGCCTGGGGGAACAAAGAGGCGTCTCGATGCTGCTGCTTCCGAAACTTCTCCGAGGCTCTTTCCTGACCAAGACTCCGAGGAAAGTCCAGCCGTGACGACAGGGGCCCCCAAAGAGGCCTAACATACACACGAAGACCATGGAAAGGTACACCCTGCGAAATGCTTAAGAAATCATGGGTTAAGAAATTCATAGTCTCAGAAATTGAATGTAACCCAGAACTTCTATCAAAATCTTGGGATTTACATTGAAAAATTAAAAATAATCGAGACTCTGGACGAAAACTCAGGTTTTCTTAAGCATCGCCTACGTATCGGTATCGGTATACTTTCCTACTTTGAGCGCCGCCTGTCGGGTCCGCGAAGAGCTCCTCGGCATTCCGAAGGGCGGCCCAGTTCGCCGAGCGAGGGGAAAGTCCAGCATCCACCGGCGCGGACCTCTCGACGAGGCCCTTCGGCAGTGCTGCCGCCTGCCGGAGGAGGGGCGCCATCCATATATCCTCCTCCACACAAAAGGCCCCTGGAGAATCGGAGGGACTCGCGTCCGCTGCTGCTCTCGGTGTCGGAGCCCGTCCCGAGACCCTGAGATCGTCAGACATACGACCGAGGACCAAGGTTAGGTCGGGCATGTCCCCTTACAGGCCGATTTTGGGCGACAGACAATATATATATATATATATATCAGACAAGCAAACCAACAAATACTCAACAAAGCGTCCCCAGACTATGTTTTGCCTATTCTTGAGTGTTCCTTCTTGTAGAGGGACAGGCCCGACGTAAGACCAGGGATGGGCTGAGAGCCCCGGGGCCTGACGGCTTGAACGAAGACTCGCGCCATCGGAGAGCCGCGTGCTATCCTCCCGCACACCTCCGCGGGCCCCCTCGGCACGGCCACTATAGGCTGCGAGGAGGGAGCTCCCTAGGGAGATCGAATCCCCTGGAACAAGTGAAGCTGCCCCCTGTCGGTTGTGAGGACATTTGGGTATGCCTCAAAAGTTAAACTTCTGACCAAAGCTTATGCTTCTCAACGTTGAAGAAGCAAGCGTTAACCTACTGGAAATGGTGCAGGGAGTAGGGAACTCCGAATTCCCTGCTCCCTGCACCAGTTCCAGTTTCTCCTGTTTCCAGTGTCACAGTGTTGTTGTCTGCTTCTTACTGCAAAGCTGTTCCTGTCCGCGCGAAGGGTTGGGAGCAAGAAGCCGCCCTGGTTAGCGTCGCCCCTCGAGGCCAAGATCCCTCGCAGATTACGTTGTATTCGCGTCCCCGAGGCCACGATCCTCTCGTAAGTTACACCGCATTCGCGCCTCCGAGACAACGATTCCAGTTAGATTACGCCACATTCGCGTTTCTGGGGCAACGAACCCCTGTAAATCACGCCACTCTCGCGCCCCCGAGGCCGCGATCCCTTAACATTTAAGCCACATTCGCGCCCCCGAGGCCACGATCTCCTATAAGAGGCGCCCAAGACGCGCCCAACAGGCCTCCGAGACGCTCAAAGGATACCCCACAAGGCCGCAAGAGGCCCCCAAGAGGCGCCCAAACCGCCTCTAAGAGGCCCCCGAGGGGCTCCCCACGACACCCCAACACATATACAAAAGGCCTCAGACCAACAACCCGGGCACGGTGGCAGGATAGACAGAAGGCCACCAAGGGAACGCCAACGTTTCTATATGCGCTGATACGTTCGCGCCCTCGAGGCCACGATCCCGCGCAAATTACACCACATTCGCGCCCCCGAGGCCACGATCTCCTATAAGAGGCCCAAAGAGGCGCCCAAGACGCGCCCAAGAAGCCTCCAAGAAGTACCAAAGATACCCCACAAGGTCGCAAGAGGCCCCCAAGAGGCGTCCAAACCGCCTCTAAGAGGCCCCCGAGAGGCTTCCCACGACACCCCAACACACATACAAGAGGCCTCAGACCAGCAACCCAGGCAAGGTGGCAGGATGGACAGAAGGCCACCAGGAGAACGCCAACGTTTCTATATGTGTTGATACGTTCGCGCCCTCGAGCCCACGATCCCGCGCAAATTACGCCACTTTCGCGCCCCCGAGGCCACGATCTCCTATAAGAGGCCCAGAGAGGCGCCCAAGACGCGCCCAAGAAGGCCCAAAGATACCCCACAAGGTCCCAAGAGGCCCCCAAGAGGCGCCCAAACCGCCTCCAAGAGGCCCCCGAGAGGCTCCTCACGACACCCTAACACATATACAAAAGGCCTCAGACCCACAACCCAGGCACGGTGGCGGGATTGGCCGAAGGCCACTGGGATGATCCGCCGCCCCCTTTCGATTTATCAAAGGGGTGCCTAGCGTGCCGGACTATATGTCTTTTGGTTTTGGTTCTTTTCCAAAAGAACTCCCCCTGGGGCTCCGGCGCGTCCCGCCGGACACCCAGAAACTGCGCAAGTTCATGCCTGCTCCGCCCCAAAATGGCCCAAGATGGTCCCAAGACGGCCAAGATGGCCCAGGATGGCCTCCAAGATGCCCCCAAGACAGCCAAGATGGCCTCCAAGACGGCTAAGATGGCCCCAAGATGCATCCAAGACGGCCCAAGATGGCCTCAAAATGGTCTGAGACGGCCCAAAAGGGCCGCAAGAGGCCTCCAAGACGGCCCAAGAGGCTTCCGAGAGGTCCTCCAGGAAGGCCCGAAGAGGCCAAAATCACAGATTTTCCCAAGGTTTTCGAAGGATTTTGGAATTTGCGCCTTTTCGGCTATCCGACGGCCCAAGACCGCCCAAGAGGCCCCAAGATCGCCCCACCCAAGAGGTCTCCAAGATGGCCCAAGTGGCCTCCAAGACGGCCCCAAGAGGGCCCCAAGACGGCCCAAGAGGCCTCCAACACGCCCAAGATGGCCTCCAAGACGCCCAAGATGGCCTCCAAGACGGCCCCGAAGCGCTCCAAGAGGGCCCCAAGTCGGCCCAGAAAGGCCCCCTAAGACGCCTCCCGACGGCGTCAGACGTGCCAGGAACCCGCCAAGATGGCCGAAGTTGGCTCGAAGCTGGCCCAAAACGGCCGAAGAGGCCCCCAAGAGGGCCTCCAGGAAGGCCAGAAGAGGCCAAAAACATTGCTTTTCCTTAGGTGTTTGAAGGATGTTGGAATTTGCGCCGTTTCGGCTTTCCGACGGCCCAAGACGGCCCAAGAGGCCCCAAAGATCGCCGAAAGATCGCCCAAGAGGCCTCCACGATGGCCCCAGAACGGCCCAAGAGGGCCCAAAGACGGCCCCAAGAGGCCCCAAGAGGCCCCCAAGACGGCACAGGAGGCCTTTAAGACGCCCAAGGTGGACTCCAAGACGGTCCTGGAGCACTCCAAGACCGCCCCAAGACGGCCCATAGAGGCCCCCTAAACGGCTTCCGACGGCGTCAGACGGACCAGGAGCCCACCAGACGGCCGAACATGGCCCTAAGATTGCCCAAGACGGCCCAAGAAGCATCCAAGAGGGCCTCCAGGAAGACCCGCAAAGGCCCAAATCATTGATTTCCCATGGGTTGTTGAAGGATGGTGGCTTTTGCTTTTTTTTGTTCTGCCTTCCGACGGCCCGAAACGGACCAAGTGCCCCCAAAGATCGCCCAAGAGGCCCAAGACACGATCCGAAGAGGCCCCCAAGACGCCTCCAAGACGGCCAAAGAGGTCTCCAAGACGCTCAAGATCGCCTCCAAGACGGCCCAAGAGTCCTCCAAGACGTCCTCCAAGAAGGCCCGAAAGGGTCAAAATGGCCTCCAGACGGCCAAGAGGACCTTCAAGATGCCCACGTGTTCCCCTAAGGCTTTCCAAACCGATTCGGGGAACATATGGTCCGATAGCTCGGGAGGTCTGGGCTCAACGTTCGGCCACATAGGCGCTTTCAAAAAGGCAGGGGGCGGCGGTGATTCGCCGCAGGCGTCTTCGATTATGCGCTGGTGATTCCGATCCGCCCCCGCATGCTGTTCCCAGATGCGCCAAGGCAGCGCCGAGACGCACCGGCGCGACTCTGTCATATCCCATTATGATACAGAGGGGGCCGGTTGCAGGGGGCGAAGCCCTTGCGGATAACCACCACCTCCTCATCTACTTGTTGGCATGTGGCCCGTGACTTGCACGCGCTCGTCGCCCCCACCCTGAGCATATTTTCCCGCAAACCCTTCCTGCATGCCCCGACAAGGTTTGCCCCGCCCAGATCGGCCGTTTCAGAAAACAGAAACACCACCCTCAGGACAAGCACCCCGACAAGCGATACCGCTTAGCAAACTCGCCCAAGGACGGAATCGGAAATGGCAGGACTGTTCAGAAAACGACCAAGGCCCTTCAGTAAACGCCAGGCACGTGGGTCGGGGTGCCCTTCCCTCCATCGAGGCTTGACAATCCCTCTCCGATTGCCTTCAAGATGCTTCCCCCGCCGATGCTTGCGAATCGGGCCAGATTTCGCGCACCGCTCCGCGCACCGCGCAACACGCTTCTCGATCTCGCGCCGCCCGCCGCAGAAGAACACCAATGGGCAAATCCCTTCGCGACCCCCTCGAATGACCTGGCCCGTGCCCGTCCGCCTCCGCGCCTCCCCACCCCTGGACGTCGGACGTCGTGCTCTTTCCCCCTATGACCTGCTGTGGCCCCCGGGTTGGCACCAAGCAGGCGGACCCCGAGGGAAACGAGCAGGAGGAGGCGGGAGAGGCGGAGGGGGGGGGAGGAGGAGGAAAGGGAGTAGGAGGAGGAAAGGGAGTAGGAGGAAGAAGGAGGAGAGGAGGAGGAGGAGGATGAGGAGGAGGAAAGGGAGTAGGAGGAGGAAGAGGAGGGGCCCCTCAGCACCCGTCTGCTCCATGGCGACCACAGATAGCTTCCGACGTCGTTCCTCCTGGGGCCAGCTGCTCGTCGGAATGCTTTTTCGTTCTACGGCCCCTGGGGCCAACTCGGGATGCAGAGGTCCCTCGAACTCTGGAGGCCGAATATGATGAGGAAGAACGACGGGGTCGAACGACCCACAGCGCCAGAGGCTTACGCTGGCAAGTCTTGTATCCAGATCCACTGCGCGTCGGATCTCCGGTACGCCCCAGGACCTCGAGGCGCATTGGATATGCATGAACATCTGGCCTCGCTGGAGGCCAATTCGACAGCGCTGGCGGTCACCCAGTGAAGTCATAGCGGAAGCGGGGCAGCGGAATCGCAAATTGCGCGCTGGGAGGCGAAGGAAGCAGAGGCAGTCGGAGGGGAGGGACAGTGACATGACAAAGCCTTTCGGAGGTCCGCGTGGGTCTCTCGAGTCGGCGCCGGGGCGCTGGGCCAAGCCCGTCCCTGTCAACGCTGTCGGCCGCGCCAGGGGCGGCGCCGCCAAACAGGGTCCGAGCGCAGAGCCGGGAGGTCCGCGAGGCCCTGCAAAGTTTGTGTTGATTTCCAAAGGGCTTATAGGCGACCCCTCCTCCTCCTCCTCCTCCTCCTCATCCTCCTCCTCCTCCTCCTCCTCCTCCTCCTCCTCCTCCTCCTCCTCCTCCTCCTTCCTCCTCCTC